GACAGCGTGGGGACGCCCCTGTTCTTGGGGCCCGACACCACAACCCTGTATGACGACGTCATGCTAATAATGCCTCAGCATTCTGACAGGGACAAGAAGGTTGCCGTCCGCTCCTCTGGGGAGGCATGCCGGGAGGTGGCGGATTAGAAAGCCCTAATCCGGATGACTCTCGACTAAAAGGCCGACGTGAATGCCCTTGGGTGAAGAAAGGACGGATTGGGCCACATACCACCATGCAGTCGCCCTCTCCAAAGGACAGGCAAGACGCATGGCGCTGCGCGCACACAAGTCGCCGCCCTTTAGCAGACCGCCAACGGGGCCAGCAATAGGGCCGTCTAAAAGCGACAAACTCGGGACCGCCCTCCGCCGCTCGGTTCAAAAGGCGGACCCGACGCCCACTAAGGACCAACCCCTGCGTGGTCCCAACGGGGGCCCGTTCTCTGGAGCGGGGGCCTCTCTGCGCGCACCCCGCCAGGAAAACGTATTAACCAACGGATGAGAACGGGCTGTGAACCCCCGAATCCGCGTGACCGATGTAATGGCATGCTGGCGAACACCGCCAAGGTGTGCCGACCAGCCTCCCTTTGTCAAAACGCTTAAGTAGGAATCCCAGGACCCCCTCCAGCGGGAACAGCCTGGGGATCCCGAGGAACGAGACACCCACCAGTCGCTGAAGGAGCCTCCACCTCGTGGCGTTAGGGCCCTCACCGTGGACCGGCGCCCCTCGCCCCCTGATATGGGTCTCCACCACCGCAGGGGGAAAGACCTCAGCAGGTTACGAGGTTTTCCGGCCTTTCTCCAGCCTCCAAACCCAGAGCCTGCCGGCCCGATTTTATCGGGCGTGGATTTCGTGAAAACACAGGGTTCCCCCCCCCTGGGTCTAGAGCCCCCCCGGCTCGTACGGGAGGGCCCAGGGCTCCATCACCGCCATGCCCCTCAGGAAGGGGAACCAGCGGACTGTCCGGAGCACAGGATCACCGACCTCCTCTCCTGTTCGATCCTCCGCTGCAGGACCGGCAGGAGACGCACTGGTGGGAAAGCCGCACAGCAGGCCCTCTGGCCGGGTAATGGAGCCAGAGCGCCATGCCTATAGGCGGCTCGTCCGCGGCCTTTCAGGCGAACCCAGACGGGCACTGTGCGTTTGCTGCACTGGCGAAAAGGGTCATCCACTGGACGGCCGACCTCGCCGATTCTCGGCAGTACCCGTGGGGCCAGGCCCCACTCGTCCTGGAAGTGGGCCCCCGCTGGACATCCTGTCGGCCCCCACGTCGGGACCCCGGGACGTGGCGCGCCATGAGAGACAGGTGGTGAATGGTGTGACGCGCTGCCCACCGCAGCGTCACCGTCGCCATGCGATGGTGGTGGCTTTCGGGAGAATTGCCGAGCGTAACCCTCTGCGCAATGTTTTCTTCCAGCCCATAGATCTGTCCCCGCAAACCTTGCTCCCTCAGCTGCGTGTAGAAGTCTGTGAGGGGCGTAAACGGGCGCTGGAACACGAGAGACGTCACTGGCCCGCCCTCTTGGATGTTCCTCGCAGGGAGGGGGGTGTGGACGAACGGGCCGGGGGGCCCCTGCGTCACACCCGGTGAGCGCCGGGGGCGGTAAACCATGTCCTGCAGGCCGACGTCATAAGTACGGGATGCTCATCCCACTGTGGACTCGGCTGCTGTGGGACCCCCCCCTGGCTCTTGCCCTCAAGGAGGGGGGGCGAGCCCCTGGAGTGGGAAACCCCGTATTAGCTTGTAGCTCAGAGAAGCTAACACGGTTCGGCCGAAGCACACCACACCATACTCACCAGATCCCTCCGCCTGACTCTCTCGGGTCGAGGGCATGTATGGATCAGAGGGCCGGCGTCGTAGCTCGCGTAGCGCACTGCAAAAACCCTGCTCTGGGGGCTGCAGGCCTAGGAAAGAAACGTTTATGTGTCGGAGAAGTAACACATTCAAGACATCACAGTATTTTGGCCATGGTTACTTACCCCACATGGACTTCTAGAAACAAGTAATGATGAAATGCCGGTTCGGCCGGCTTTATTGAAGGAACACTTTCCCCACCCCGACTCCTCTGCCATAGGGAGGTAGGCGGGAATCATTGTGGTGCGTTGCTCCCGCGAGCCACCCGTGTGGTCTGTGTCTGGACCGGGGGCTCGTCGCGGGGGGCGATGGACAACAGAGCGCGGTAGGGTCAGGTTGCCTCCCGGGCGAAGCCTCATCTGCCTCAGGCCCGGCTCCGTGATGGTTGGTGGGGCCTCGCGCCTCTGGTGCTATGTGCGGGGGCTAGGCCTAGCCGAGTTCGTTGGGCTGCAGGACTCCAGGGTCTCGCCACCAAGGCTTGCATGTCCGGGCCGAAGAGGGGACGTTGAGAGCATGGGCAGTCAGCAGCTGCCTCTTCTCGCCTCCTTTTATTAGCCGAGCCAAGCCAAAGGTGCTGGGCCCCGACTAGGGCTGCAGCCATGGAGCGGCACGACCCCGGCCAATGCGTCTGGCACATGAGCCCAGAATCCGCCGCGAGGTGGTCCTCGCTGTGACGGAGGTCTCGACTTGAGCACAACCATTCATTTGAATAGGGCGCCATTTGGATCGCCGGGGCTTTGGGCACAACTGAGTCACACAACCCAAGAGCCTTAGCATCACGCATGGCTCACACCATGGATGTATTATATTAACGCTCACGCGGGCGTCAGGGTGCGTTCACAGCCGGGGGAAAACCGTGGGGAATTTTTAGCTTTTGGCGGAAAAAAGTGCGGAAGATCTCAAGATTAACATTAGGACATTGCCGTCTTCCGAGGGGGGCACTGGGGGTGGCTTGGTATATTTTTAGATGGTGGCAGTGGCCACCCGGGGGACTTACCCTCTGGCTCCGCCACTGCAGGCACCAGACCTCACCTTCCCTCCGCGCGGGACACGGGATGTCTTGCGATGCTGGATAGATGTTATGCCAATGCGGCCTCAGGTAGTCGCATTGGCTAACAAATGGCCATTACTCACGGGGGCCTGAATAGGTCGTCTCTTCTGGCAGGGGCCGCTCAGTGGAGACCTCTGGCAAGGCGAGGACCACCTCACGGCGGCGATTCTGCGTGCAATGTGCCAGACGCTAGCCGGTGGACGGTGCGCTCATGGCTGCAGCCAGTGGGGCCCAGGCCACTTTTTGGTTGGGCTGGCTAATCTAGGGGAGCGGAGAAGAGCAGTGTGGACCTGCCCATCTCTCAGACGTCCTCTTCGGCCCGGACATTGCAGGCCTGGTGGCGAGACTGGATGCGTCTGCAGCCAAACGACTCGGCTAGGCTAGCCCCGCACTTAGCACCGAGGGCGAGGCCACCAACCATCACGGAGAGGTGACAGAGGCAGAGGAGCGTTCGCCGGGAGGCATCCTGACCCGTATCCGCGCTCCTGTTGTCCATCGTCCCCCCTCGACGAGGCCCCCGGGTCCGGACAGACCACGGGTTGGCTCGCGGGAGCAAACGCACCCATCGCCGTCCTCCCTAATGGCAGAGGAGGTCGGGGTGGAAAGTTTTCCTTCAATAAAGGCGACGGCATCTTCATAATTACTTGTTTCTTAGAGTCGCAATTGGGGGGTATGCTAAATGTCAAATAATGTGAAGTCTGATTGTGTTACTTTCGAGCTACATAGTGCTTCGCTAGGGCCTGCAGCCCCCAGGCAGGGTTTGCAGTGCGCTAGCGGAGGCTACGAGCTCCGGCCCCTTGATCCATACTATGCCCTCCAGAGAGAGGTCAGGCGGAGGATCTGTGAGTAGTGGTGTGTGTGCTTCGGCCGAACGCCGTGTTAGCATCTCTGAGCTACAAGGCTAATACGGGGTTTCCCCACTCCAGGGGCTCGCCCCCCCCCTCCTTGAGGCCGAAGACAACTGAGGGACAAGCTCAGCCACCTCCAATCAATGAGCATCATGTCCCTCTCTACCTTGCTTGATCCCAGATTTAAAAAGATTGGATTCTTCAACCCCAATAAGGCAGCAGAAGCTGAAAAAAGATTGATTGGCGAATGTGCTCGAGTTTTGAGACTTTTGTGGTGTTCCGGAGGGAGTGGTGGATATTATTTAACTGGATCCACATTACATTTATAATAAAGGACGTAGGTCCGTTGTGATAACACAGAGGCTGATACAGGTTACAAAAATATGTACATTTATTAACAAGTTTGTTCAGGTCACTGTAACATGATTCTGGTCACTGCAACATGATTCTGGTCACTGCAACATGATTCTGGTCACTGCAACATGATTCTGGTCAATGGAATCTGGGTAAGGCAAGGCGGCGACAGTGCACCGCATGGCTCCATGGCATCAATCTAAAAGTACATGTATCTAAATAAATATTATGACTCAAATTGTTCTATAACCTATAAGTTCTGCTACAAACCTGGGTTAGCGCGCGCTCACACACATGAGCTGGGTTGACAGCCAGCACCGCGGGCGGTAGTTACACGGCAACACAAGTGGACCCATGGCAGCAGCACTGAACCACAATATTTAACACTCAGTGCTCCATAAAACAAATATCTCACATTTAACTTTCGGATACTACCTGAGAGCGGGAACAGCGACGTAAACACCGCAACCGGAAGCAGGAGAGCGAGGTCAGAGGACGAGTGAAAGAAGACGCGTACCTTTTATTGGGTGATTGACAGGACGAACAACCAATAGAAAATGAGGACGAGAGAAAGTGGCATAGAGCCCGCCTGCAGGCTGTAATGCCACATTTTCCCCCCTCAACCTTTAACGTCGTCCCGACGTTAACATTCATACTAGGCCTTTACAAATCATACACGGGTGACTGTCAACTACCCACTGCTATACCCTCCACGTCACTGAAGAGGTGCCCTGAAGGCAACAGTTTTGGGGCATATTGAGCATCACCAGAAAACACAGCGCGCACGCAAACACACTAGAGGACAACCGACTACCAGTACTGCATGTCCTTTCCATATGACCACTGTCTGAAAAGGTGCCTTAACGGCTGCAATTAGGGCTTGTCGAGCGCCGACTACAAACGCACAAGCGGGGTGAACTGGCACTCCCATAACGACGCTGGCTGCGGCTTGATGCTCCAGAAGATCTGCTGGTACAGCAGTCCCCTGTTCAACCACGTCTATTTGTTTTAATCACACGAAACACAGTTGCCTCATCACCAACCCACAATTTATGCTGAATGAAGGACCTTGACGGTTATCAGCTCCACATTAAAAACATTACTGGCCCCATAAAGCACTGCCCCCAGTCCATCCTTTCTGAGCAGTAGTAGCGCCAGTACGCTTATGGTAAGTGAGACCACCACGGATACTGCTCCTACAGCAGCTCCTACCCCTCAACTTACTCGCTACTGCCTGGACGGGTCTGAGCCACCCCAAGGAGACGCAGGTACGGCACCATTAAGGGGCGCAGATGCTGTGGCCTCACCCTCCAGCCTCGAACACTGCAAGCTAAAAACACTGATCGCCGCCTTGCCTTTAAAATAAATACAAAAGGTTATTCACAAACCTCACACTGGATTTGACCACATTAGCTTTAACAGTAGCATTAATTACTAGCTGTTTGCTAAACACCAATGATAACATTCAATTAGCGTACCTCAAGCTTTAGCATAGGTCAATAGCACCATAGACATATAAAGAGCTCAGCCTCTGTTTGTTTATCAACATCCTGTCAAGCAACGCCAATTGTGGTGTTCCAGAGGGTGTGGTGGATATTATTTAACTGGATCCACATTACATTTATAATAAAGGACGTAGGTCCGTTGTGATAACACAGAGGCTGATACAGGTTACAAAAATATGTACATTTATTAACAAGTTTGTTCAGGTCACTGTAACATGATTCTGGTCACTGCAACATGATTCTGGTCACTAACATGATTCTGGTCACTGTAACATGATTCTGGTCAATGGAATCTGGGTAAGGCAAGGCGGCGACAGTGCACCGCATGGCTCCATGGCATCAATCTAAAAGTACATGTATCTAAATAAATATTATGACTCAAATTGTTCTATAACCTATAAGTTCTGCTACAAACCTGGGTTAGCGCGGTAGCCGCTCACACACATGAGCTGGGTTGACAGCCAGCACCGCGGGCGGTAGTTACACGACAACACAAGTGGACCCATGGCAGCAGCACTGAACCACAATATTTAACACTCAGTGCTCCATAAAACAAATATCTCACATTTAACTTTCGGATACTACCTGAGAGCGGGAACAGCGACGTAAACACCGCAACCGGAAGCAGGAGAGCGAGGTCAGAGGACGAGTGAAAGAAGACGCGTACCTTTTATTGGGTGATTGACAGGACGAACAACCAATAGAAAATGAGGACAAGAGAAAGTGGCATAGAGCCCGCCTGCAGGCTGTAATGCCACACTTTCATTGTCCGCTTCTGCTTCATCATCATCATCATCACCATCATCATCTGTAGCTGAAGGTAATATGTATACTCTATTTGTGCTAATAAGTCACTTATAACCTGTTTATTCTGTTTTAGGGAGCAAACTGTGGCAACGTTTTGACACGACATGCCAGCAGACCAAAATCCCAAACATAACTGCCAACGCTACAGTGGAGGTCCAAACATACCTGGGGGAGCCAAATATTCCTCGACTCGAAAGTCCCCTTCAATATTGGGACAAACATAAGTTTACATTTCCAAATTTATATAAACTTGCCATTACATATTTATGTTCACCTGCATCCTCTGTGCCCTGTGAACGGGTTTTTTCAAAGGCAGGTGAAATACTGTGCAAGAAAAGAAATCGCCTGAGTCCAAAAACTCCTGTCAATAGTTGCATAAGCACTTACATAAACAAAGTAACACAAGCACATTTTACATAACAACTGTCTCCACATCATTGGCTGTATTCTTTCAGCCCATGTTCAGACCCTACCATTTGTTATAGGCCCTTGGCATGTATTACATTTCTTTGTCCACATGATGGCGTAGTGGAGCATGATTCACCTCGAGCCTTCGACTCATGGGCCGAGTAATAGGCTGCGATCCCTCAAGGCTTCATGGGGCTTCATATTGCCATCACTATAATTTCACAGAGTAACATGGTATGTAGGCTAGACGCACTGTAACTGAGACTACGATCTGGCACTGAGGAGCTGGCTTCAGAGGTACTTGTATCCGCCTGATTGAAGAGTGGAGACAGCTGGGCAGAGTCCGAGGCAGCTCCAACACACCTGTCCCTGCCAAGCCCCGGCGATCCAAGATGACGCCCTATTCAAATGAATGGTCGTGCTCAGTGGCGCTTTGTGACGGCATGGGGGCTGAAATATTAGCCTGGAACTCGCAAAGATCTATGGGAAACTCGCAAAGATCTTTGGGAAACTCGCCTGTATTTGGGCATCGTCTGGTCCTCCCGGTTCTGCGCAGTGGATGATCTCCCATAATGCGTTGCGCCAAACACGTGTGTGTGGGTCTCACACCAGGTCTCACGCACGTGCACAGAGGGGCTCGGCCGCGCTCTGACCAATCAGAGCAGTTCGTCAGAGCGGGAGTTAGAGCGAGAGCCAGAGGAGCAGAGTTTGTGGCACTAAAGTGTGGATTTAAACAAAACCGAAGGATTTAAGAAGAAAAAAAGTTCAGGATGACAAGGGACACTAAAATCCCCACAAAATCCGATCTTTATTAAAGCTGTAGGTTCTCTGTCAGCTGAGGTTGAGCTGTTTTAATATGCATTGAGTTCTATGGGGAAAATTTCTGGGTAGCCCACGTGAATTTAGTCTGGTTCAGTCTGCAGTACCGCGAGAATCCCCTGAGCACATGAGTTATTCAGTAACAAGCTAGTAATACCCTATCCAGTTAATATAATAGATCCATGGTCCCTGCTCAGAGAACAGGTAGGGGAGGGGGATGAGGCAGAGACTCCTGGAGTATCAGGGGAGGGAGGGGCTGCTGGAGGAGCAGCCCTGACACATGTTGCCCCTGTCTAATCTATAATCGGATCTAATCTAAGCACATTCTATGACAGTTTTGGAGATTTGGGAAGTGGGTGGATGTGGTGATTGATGACAAACTCCCCACTCTGGATGGGGAACTAATCTTTGTGCACTCCAAGCGCTCGGATGAATTCTGGCCTGCTTTGTGGAGAAAGCCTACGCTAAGTATGTGTCAATGAAAACCTGTTTGTGAGCTCTGGATATCTGAGTTTGTAGCATGAGGTGATGTGTGCAGAGTGTGTGGCTCCTACGCTGACATGAAAGCAGGGGTCCCTGCTGATGCCCTGGTGGACTTCACAGGAGGTATTCACTTGTCCATCCAGCTGTCAAAGCCTCCTCCAGACCTGTGGGAGCTCATGTGCAGAGCAGGGACATGCACTTCAGTCATGGGATGTGGCACAGCACCCGGGGTAACCACTGTTCCCAGCGCTTTGGAGGTTTTTTTTTGGATCATTTATGAATTGTGTATGTTAATGTTATGGCTTTAGATGTTCTTCTAATAAGAAAACAAGAAAAGTAAAGAAAGCTACTGCTTAATTACCACATGTTTGGGCAGTACACTTCCGCCTTCATCAGAGCTGACACGTGATGGTGTGACGCGTCTCTTCTCAGCTGTTGTTGCCAGATGTGGTCAGTCTGACAGATCTCACAGATCCGTCAGACCTGTGAGATCTAGACCAGTCTAGTTTTGGTTTTGCAAAATTCAGCAAAACCAAAACTAGACAAACAAAATAGTGTCTGTATGTCTTGTCTATTTGTTACCCCCGCTGTAAAGTCTTATATGTGCATAGATAAGGAAGGTCTGCACTGCTGTTGAGCCTCCAATATTTTATTTACTGGAAACACTGTAATGTTTTGGCAACAGGGAGACATTAGGAGATAAAAACGTCTCCACACAACACTTGGAGCATTTTTATTTGAGACACAGGCAATGTGTGTCTTATTTGCTTTTAATCGGGAAAAACTCGGACAAGAACATTTATAAATAATGATTATGTTTATTGAGTTAGTTCGTTATACAATATTGCTACTGTATTCTATGATAGTATTTTATGGCACTATTTTATAGCAGTATTTTACAGCGTATGTCCGGCTTAGAGAGCGCTAAATCGCACAGGGCACAAATTATGGCACTATCTTAAAATGAGAAGCTTGTGTCTCACATGATTTTAATCGGGAAAAACTCAGACAAGAAAATTTATAAAAATCATGTTTATTGAGTTAGTTAGTTATACATCAGTATATTAGTTACTGTATGATAAGACACACTTACTCCTGGAAGACATAGTGGCATCATGTGCCAATTAATATTATACAATACCGTATTATAGCATGTGAATTGACACATGGAATATAAAAAATGTCAGTCACTGTGGTTTGATGCTTTGAGCTCGGTAGAAATATAGCATGACAAAGGCAGGAGGGAATTGAACCTATATAATCAAAGTGAAACCACCCTGGGATCTAAATCTGGTGGAATCTGAAGTGATGAGCCGATGACACAAAGAGTGATGTTTCATTGTTGAGGCCGTAACTGGGAGGAGGCGGGTTGCTGTATGAGCTGAACGCGTACGTGCGGCAGGAATGCAAGGCTGTCTTTAAATTCAGCAGCGACGGATTATCAGAGACGTGTAGAAGTGAAGATTGAGGTGAAGAGGTGGTAGCACAGAGATGTCTCGTCTTCTGACTCCCTAAAGCTTTTTGGTTTTTTGTATGGGTACGGTACAAGATGAGAACCTATTGACTTCTGTGTATGAACCAGCGGCGGCGCAATGTGACTGTGCTGCTCTGATCACAGGCTTACAGTATGGTATTGAGGCTACTCTGCTTGTAAACCATACACTGTAAATATTAACGGACGTAGTGACGCCCATCTCCGTCGTTGAAACTAATGTGCCACCGCTTTTGCCTTCTGTGAGATTTTTCAAAATGGCCACAGGGGCAGGAAAATGCCCCTGTGGCGCCTCCTCTGGTCACATGAGCCTCGACAGCTTCATCAGCCTGGGCCTGCGACTAGAGTGCATGTCCAGCATGTGCAAACGCATACGCATACACACGCACACGCACGCACGCACGCACGCTCTGATATAATTTCATCTCCACAGAAATCTACCGCAAGTTGTCAAACGGGGACGCCATGATTCTGGGGGAATCTGATGTGAGATTGTTTTATTGTTGTTATTATTTTCATATTATTAATCTTTGTTTTCTTGTTTACATTTCCCCAGTGGATGCATCTGTGTATGTACACATGATCAGAGGACACTATTATTGATGAAGGAGTTTTTTTATTCTTGATGTTATAATTTGTGTTTGCAATCAATAATGAGGAATGCATTCTCTAGAGTCTGTAAGAAGGAATGTTTGCATAAATGTAATGCACTGATTTTATTTAGCGCTTTTTTCACTCTTCACTTGTCATCATTATTTCACTCCATACAAAATTGTGATAAACTCCATCCACCTCCACTCATTTCCACATTCTGGGCAAAGTGGGTGAAGTGTCTTGCCTAAGGACACAATCACAGTTTGGCACTTTACAGCCGCAGCCACCCCACTGTGGCACCTGGTATTCCCAGAGGTCTCCCATCAGAGTACTAACCAGCTCCTGCCCTGCTTAACCTCAGAGGTCTGATGAGATCAGGCTTTGACCTGGAGGTAGCGCTGAGTGTGTGTATTCTCTGGTATGTATTCTCTGTACTGTGAATAATGGATCCTTCTGAACTCCACTGAAGCAGAAATGTGCTCTCTGCCCTCAGAATGTCAGAGACGAGCCTTGGATGTAACTGTAGAAACAGAAGACAATAAAGGCATGGATTTGGTCCAATTTATATATATTTCTTAAATAAAGTTAATAAATTAAATATGCTTTAATATTGCATTTGTTGTTGCATTGAGCAGAGATGTTTTTTGCATGCAGTTGTCTGCCCTCGTAGGACTTACATTTGTCCTTTGTTTGACATTCTCAAAACTGATTTTGCTTATGATCAAGATGTTTAAGATATTGCAATCTATGCTAAATTTTTGTTGGAACCAATAGAAAGCCTTTACTTTACCTTTGTAATGACTGAAGTAATTGGGGGTGGGATTAAATAAGTGTTTACTTCTTCCCACTCCTTTTCGAGCATCCATAAGTGTTATGTTTGTATGATTTACTCTCTTTGTCATTACTCTTTTCGTTGTACCTACGTTACTTGTAATTACTTTGTCCACTTGCTCAAAATAAATACAAATGAATAAAAAAATATGTGTGTTTCAAAACAGTTAATTTCCGCCATCAGATTCATAAACTTAGACTCAGACTTAGACAGACTTTATTGGTACAAAAGGGAAATTGCGTTTGCACAGTAGCTTGCACAGTATTTCACAATAAAATAAACATTCAAGTAACAATCTAAAAATAGATAGTATTGTGAGAATAGAATAATCTGGATATAGGTGCTCAGGAAAATACATATCTGTGAATATGTGCACATTTAAAATACAGAGATAAGGATTGGATCTCATTGACAATTAAGAGACCATATTATAAAAGCCATCCCCAGAGGACAAAGTTCCTCTGGGGCATTACTGCACTCATTCACGTTTAAATTTCAGCAGTAGCGGCTGACTTCCAGATCCACAGCTTGTGCTGACTTGAGTTTTATTTGTCTAAAGACTAAATCTATACACGCAACTTAAATCTGTGCCCACATGTGGATAGTTCCCTGGAAGATCTAAGACATGTCATGCCTTCACACCTCCCTGCAGCTGCAATGAAGATGCTATCATTGCTATCTCAACAAAGTATAAACTTGCGCAAACATGTTTTTTTAAAGACAACCTTCATCTGAATCAGGTGCATGTACAGTCAGGAGTCTAGGGAAATGTTCCAAGCCCATCATGCATATATAAAGACCAGGGCTTGTTCTCTAAGACCCAACTGATCTGACTCCAGCATCATGGCGGTATCAGGCGTGTGTCAAAGCATCCTGAATGCACGGCAAAATGAGGACGGTTATGGAAGCCTTGAAGCTCCCGAGAAGTTCCTCAACCAGGACTACCAGCAGCTGAAACAGTACTGCCTGATCCGGAATGTGCGTTTCTTCGATGACATGTTTCCTCCGGACAAGAGATCCATCGGCCCCACCATCCTGTCCCCTTCAGATCTCAGCAAAGTGGTGTGGTGCAGACCCCAGGTGAGTGTGACAATGACAGTGGGGGGGACATGAGAAAATTAAACTATTCAGTCAGCTCAAACACAGCTTTCAGACTCCACACATGTCTAAAATCATTTGTGTTTTTGATTCTTAGAAAATTGTTCCCAATCCAGCTTTTGTGGTGGATGGAATCTCCAGATTTGATTTTGGCCAGGGCATTCTAGGCAAGTAAATGATCAATAGTTGCATTTATGTTTACAGTTGTATTTAGCTAAAAACTAGATAATATAGTCAAGATGTGAATATGCAGCAATTTTAAAATTTAATTACCAGTTGTAATAAAACATGTATTTGTAGGGAATTGTTGGTTTCTGGCATCCATCGGATCTCTGACGTTCCAGAAGCAAATCCTGGCTCAGGTTGTGCCAATGGAGCAGCAGTTTGATGACAGCTACTGCGGCTTGTTCCACTTCAGGGTAAAGAAGAGCTATCTCTTTTGTTTTTACGGCAATGCACAGTACAGGGATTAACTCTATGTTTGTGTTTTTTCAGTTTTGGAGATTTGGACACTGGGTGGATGTAGTTATTGACGACAAACTTCCCACAATAAACGGCAGACTTATCTTTGTCCACTCCACAGACCCGACCGAGTTCTGGCCTGCTTTGCTAGAGAAAGCCTATGCTAAGTGCGGTTTGTCTTTTTGTTTTTTTGTTTTGTGTGTGTGTGTGTGTGTAGCATGTGCAACAGTATTGTTAATATGTAGGATTACAAAATGACAGATAATAAAGTCAGTATTGGACAAATAAAATTATTTGTCCAATACTGAATAAATAATCAGTCAATACATTTTTTTTTCATAAAGCCCTTTACAACACTCAAGGCGACCAAAGTGCTTTGCAATAAAATCACATGAAATCCATTAAAACATTCATACATTCAATAAATTAATGTTAAAATGCGTTAAAAAAAAACAATAATAATAAGTTTGAACCTATAGGTAGATAATGAGAGTAAGTGCAGAGTGTTAATGATGATTTTCTGTGTGTTACTGTCTTGTTTTAGAATACTTTTGTGTTTGTGTGTGTTTGTGTGTGTCAGAGTGTGCGGTTCCTACTCGGACATGAACGCGGGGACCCCAGCGGAGGCTCTGGTGGACTTCACCGGAGGAGTCCACATCTGTCTGGAGTTGAACAGTCCTCCTCCAGACCTGTGGGAGGTCATGTGCAGAGCAGGACGCTCCAAGTCCCTGATGGGCTGTGGAACTCCTCCCGGGGTAACCCTTTTCAATCAATCAAATCAATCAATCACATTTTATATGCAAGTTATAATCTAAAGTGCTATTCTTCCAAGAAATGCATCATACACAAGCGCTTTACAGTTAGGTTAAAATCAATCCCAAATGAGCCCCTCCCCCGGCCAATGGGCAAAACACATGTGTTCATAAGTCAAAAACAAGTGGGGGCGGGTCCCGGCTCAAAAGTGGCCAAAATGACGCGCGCAGATGGGGGTGGACCAGAAATAAGAATTAGCCAATGCTAACATATAGCAATAGTTGACCTCTCGAAAACGTCTTTACAGGATGGTCCAAAAGCTGGGTGAATTTTTTTGGACCAGTCTAGTTTAGTTGCTGTGAATTTTTGAAGTCACTCGTTTAAATGAATGGGGCTCGTGCAGCTGACGCATGTGCAGATGCATTTTTTCACATTTTCCAGCCCCCGCGGCCATTTTGAATCACTCCATGAAAGCCCAATTTTTGGAGATAGAATCAGAATCAGAATCATCAGAATCATTTTTATTGCCACGTAAGTAACAGGAGGTCACAGACTAGGAACTTGCTTTGGCTCAGTGCAACAGTCAAAAAGAGATAATAAAAATAAGAATAAAAAACACTTCTAAAGAATAAATTTAAATTTAAAATAGAGTTACAGTTACTATTTACAATATACAGTTACTATTTACAATATACAAGTGCACATGGTGCACACAATGTAAGGGGACAGCAGTACAGTGAAGTAAAGTGACGTATGATGGGCAGTAAAGTGACTTTATAAAGGGCGGGGGGACAGGTTAAGAAGTGTTCAAGAGTCCAACAGCAGAGGGGAAGAAACTGTTCTTGTGGCGGGAGGTTCTAGTCCTGATGGACCGCAGCCTCCTGCCTGAGGGGAGTGGTTGGAATAGTCCATGTGCAGGGTGAGAGGGGTCGGCTGTGATACGACCAGCCCGGCCTCGAGCTCAGGCGACGTACAGGTCCTGCAGCGATGGAAGGCTGCGGCCGATCACTTCCTCTGCAGAGCGCACAATGCACTGTAGTCTCTGTTTGTCCCTGACTGTGGCTCCAGCGAACCACACGGTGATGGAGGAGGTGATGGAGGAGGTGAGGATGGACTCGATGATGGCCGTGTAGAACTGCACCAACATCTGTGCAGGCAGCTTGGCTTTCCTGAGCTGCCGCAGGAAGTACATCCTCTGCTGGGCCTTCTTGATGAGGGAGCTGATGGTCGGCTCCCACTTGAGGTCCTGGGTGATGGTGGTGCCCAGGAAACGGAAGGACTCCACAGAGGTGATGGGGGAGTCCATCACGGAGGGTGGGGGTGGGGGGACAGTGCTCTTCCTGAAGTCCACAATCATCTCCACTGTCTTCTGGGCGTTCAGCTCCAGGTTGTTACCACTGCACCAGGACACCAGCCGGCCCACCTCCCTCCTGTAGGCGGACTCATCATTGTTGGAGATGAGTCCAATGAGGGTGGTGTCGTCCGCGAACTTGATCAGCTTCACGGAGTCGTGGCTGGAGGTGCAGTGGTTGGTGTACAGGGAGAAGAGCAGGGGAGAAAGAACACAGCCCTGTGGGGCTCCTGTATTTATAATCCAAGAGTCCGAGACATTCTTCCCCAGACGCACTCGCTGCTTCCTGTCCGTCAGGAAGTCAGTGATCCACCTGCAGGTGGAATCGGGCACGTTGAGCTGGGAGAGCTTGTCCTGGAGCAGGGATGGCAGGATTGTGTTGAAGGCAGAGCTGAAGTCCACGAACAGGACCCTGGCGTAGGTCCCCTGGGAGCCGGGTGCTGTAGGATGTGGTGGAGGGCCAGGTTAATGGCGTCGTCTACAGATCTGTTGGCTCTGTAGGCGAACTGCAGGGGGTCCAGGAGGGGGGAGGTGAGGGACTTGAGATGGGAGAGAACCAGGCGTTCAAATGACTTCATGACGACAGACGTAAGTGCTACAGGTCTGTAGTCATTGAGTCCTGTGATCCTGGGCTTCTTCGGGACGGGGACAATGATGGAGGATTTGAAGCAGGCCGGGACATGGCAGGACTGCAGAGAGGTGTTGAAAATGTCCGTGAACACAGGAGTAAGCTCACTGGCGCAGTGTCTCAGAGTGGCCGGAGACACGTGGTCCGGGCCAGGAGCTTTGCGGGGGTGCAGCCTCAGGAAGAGTTGTTTAATCTCTTTAGCGGCTATTGTTAGGCTGGGGGCAGGGCTGATGGGTGGGTCGTTAAAGTAGTGGGGGGTGGGGGAGGGAGAGGTGTCAGGGGCAGCATCAAAGCGACTGAAAAATAAGTTCAGATCGTCAGCTAGCTTGTGGTCGTCAGCACAGGGGGGGGCTTTGGGTTTGTAGTTGGTGATCTCCCGTAGGCCCCTCCAGACAGAAGCAGTATCGTTGTTACCAAACTGCTCCTGTAGTCGTTCTCTGTGCCGGGACTTGGCTGCTTTCAGTTCTCTCCTGAACTGATATTTAGCTGCTTTGTAGCCGCTGCGGTCCCCCTCCCTGAAAGCAGACTCCTTTGCTTTCCTGAGCTGCCGGAGTTTAGCAGTGAACCAGGGTTTGTCGTTGTTATAGATGACCCTGGTCCTTGTTGGAATGATGCTATCCTCACAGAAGTGAATGTATGACGTCACAGTGTCCGTATATTCATCCAAACTATCTGTGGCAGCTCTGAAAAGGTCCCAGTCTGTAGATTCCATGCATGCGCGCAGCTCTTCCACAGCTTCATCAGACCACACTTTGGAGCTCCTCATTGCAGGTTTCGAGAGCTTTAGTCTCTGTCTGTAAGCAGGAACCAGATGTATCATGGAGTGATCTGAGAAGCCGAGGGCTGGCTTGGGAACAGCGCGAAAAGCTCCGCGCACGGTGGTGTAACAGTGATCCAGAGTGTTCTCCTCTCTGGTCGGGCATTTGATAAACTGTCTGTATTTGGGTAATTCCTGGCTCAAGTTTCCCTTATTAAAATCCCCCAGGATAATAATCAGAGAGTCCGGGTATAAGCGTTCCATACACAGTACTTGCTCTGCGAGTGCGCGCTGAGCCTCGCGCGCGTCCGTGCATGGCGGTATGTAAACAGAGGCAAGAATGAATGAAACAATTTCGCGCGGGGAGTAATATGGTTTACAATGAATGAAAAGATATTCCAGAGCAGGAGAGCAGTGCTTGGAGATCACTGTCACATCGTTACACCAGTTTGTATTGACGTAGAAACACAGCCCTCCGCCTCTGCTCTTCCCTGAGAGCGCACAATGGCGATCCGCGCGGAACAGCCCAAAGCCCTGCAGCTCCAGAGCGCAGTCCGGGATCCGCTCGTTTAGCCAGGTCTCAGTGAAGCAGAGGACACAGGATGTGGCGAAGTCCTTGTTTCTTCTCATGAGCAGGCTGAGTTCGTCCATCTTATTGCCCAGTGAGCGTAGAGCCGTGCGCGCTCCTCTCCTCCTAAGACCAAAAAGCCATTTACAACGTTTAACTGCAGCTCTAAATAATCTTGATTGGTCCAGCATACTATCCTGTGACGACACTAATAAATGTTGTGATCTACTATACTCCTCTATTAAAGGGGTTTTGTCTCGGTTTCAGAAAGAGGGTTATTTAAAGAAACGAGTTTATTCCTTGCCTTGGATCAATAGTGAGTGTAAACAGCTTATGAGACTCAGAGACAAATTACTTAAAAAATCATTACAATCTGGATTAACTACTGATCAATTAAATTTTATATCGGCAAGGAATAAAGTCATCCAAACTTTGAAAATGAGAAAAGCTAATTTTTTCATGACCATAATTAATAGTGCCAAAGGAAATTGTAAGCAAATATGGGAAAATATTAACAAACTCCTTGGTAAAAGTAAGCACGATGCTGATAAAGACCTTGAACTCAAATTTGGCAATGAATTGGTATCAGAGCCTCTCAGTCTAGCAACTAAATTAAATGATTTTTTCCAAAGTACCATTAATGATATTGCACAACTGTTTTCTAATTCTTGTGACTCTCAACAAAATATTGGCAACACCAACTCCCATATGGATGCCTCAACTCAAAATTCAAAGTTTAATATCCAAAAAATTACAGAATATGAAGTAGAAAACATAATCTCTAAATTGAAAAGTTCTAAAGCAAGGGATGAGTTTGGATTTGATACTAATCTTCTGAAAAATTATAAACCTTGTATCTTGGTGCCTGTGACCCATCTTATTAATTTATCAATCTCGCAGGCAGTCGTTCCTCTGAGTTGGAAAGTGGCAAAAGTGATACCAATCTATAAATCAGGTGATAAATCAGACCCTGCTAATTATCGACCTATTAGCATACTCCCTATCTTCTCAAAAATAGTAGAAAAGTGGGTTGCTAACTCTATTATCGAACACCTTAATGATTCCAATCCAGGTCTGCATCCTATGCAATTTGGATTTCGATCTCTTCACTCAACTGAAACAGCTGTCTGTGTTTTTGTTGAAAAGGTGAAGTCTTATCTAGACAAAAATAGTTATGTTGCGGCTGTTTTTATTGACTTTAAGCGTGCGTTTGATACTGTGAATCACCTTAAGCTCTTGTCCAGACTGTCAACATTTAACCTTAGTAATCAAACCGTTGAATGGATACAGTCTTACCTATCAGATAGAAAACAATGTGTGCAAATAAAGAATAGTAAGTCACCCTATCTTTACTATACACAGGGTGTCCCTCAGGGATCAATTTTAGGTCCCCTGCTATTTTCACTTTATGTAAATAACTTGCCTAACGTATGCAAAAATGTGGACACGATTATGTATGCCGACGATACGGTAATTTTTACACAAGCCAAAAGTGCTGATGATGCAGCCCATCAGCTCTCAATAGCCTTAAATGATCTACAAAAATGGCTGAATGATTCATGCCTGTGCCTTAATGTTAAAAAGACTGTATCAATGTTTTTTAGTAAACCTAAAACAACAGTGGCCGCAGTAAAAGTTTTCTTGGGTGGACAAGAATTAACTAATGTTGAGGAATTTAGGTATCTAGGAGTGCTAATA